AGACCCAGCTGCTGGCCCTGCGGTGGAGCCAGGGGTCCCTGCTCCTCTGGGTGTCCTGGGTCACGCAAAGTGCGAGGCCCCAGAAAACCTCCGCGTGTGGTTCCTGGATCCCAAGGACATAAAGGAGGACGGACTGTGAAACACATGGTGGCCTGGCCGTGGGGGCTCAGGGGCAGTGTCGGCCTGCGGACCGGACGTGATCTGCCGATGTCACCAACTAAGGGGCTGGAGATGAGACGAGGGTCCTGCATTATCAGGGCGTCCGGGGTCTCCTGGGTCCTTAGCAGAGGGGGACGTCTGCCCCGGAGAACGGGTGCAGGGTCAGGAGAGGGTCCCCCGAGGCTGGTCCTCCCGATGGAGCGTCCACCCGGGGGTGATGTTGGCGTCGAGCCAGAGAGCAGCAGGCAGGGACCTTGTGGGGGAGAACGTGGAGGCAGCCAGCAGGCCGGATGCAGCTCAGCCTGTTCACAAACATTTCACCCCCAAAACCCCTAATTTTTCTGAAGTGCATCCCTAACTCCACAGTGACACAGTTTGGAAAGACCAAGGGTGGGTGTTCCAACAGCACCACCGTGTGCCGTGTCCCTGCATGGCCGTGTCCCTGTGTGGACGTGTCCCTGCGTGGCTGTGTCCCTGTGTGGCCATGTCCCTGTGTGGCCATGTCCCTGTGTGGCCATGCTACAGGGATTTCTCAAGGATGAGCAGCTGCTGTGTGTCCTGGTGGGACAGGCGTCCTGGGCCAGCCCTGACCTGAGACCACAGAGTGAGTGTGTGGCTGTGAAACGTAACACAAAGGACATGGCTGTGTCTTTTGTCTGTTTAAACCTTTCTCATTTGGCCAGCGAGTCACTGTTACGGATTGAAAATGAGAAAACAGTTCACTGACCACGGCAGGTGGTTTGGGAAGGATGCTCATGCGGAAAAGATTCACAGCCTTCCCAGGAACTTGCCGGGGCGGCCATGACAGAGGCCACGGGGGGGGGGGGGGGCCGTGACCCAGGCCACGGGGGGTTCAGGCAGCAGGACGTCACCTCTCACAGCTGGAGGCCGTGGGTCAGAGGTCAGGGTGTTGGCGGGCAGGCTGCTCTGAAGACTCCAGAGACTCCCGGCTCTGCTGTCTGCTGGCTCCTCGCTGTCCTTGTCTTGTGGCCCCGTTGGTGGCCCGGCTCCGTCATCACGTGGCACATCCTGTGCGTGTCTGTGCCTGACTCTCCTCTCCTGATGCGGACACGGCCCCACAGAACCAGGGCCCCCTGCCGACTCCGCCTGATCCCCGCATACAGACCCGTCCCCCCAGGGCACACCCCGCGGTCGGGGTAGGGCCCAGCTTGTCTCTTTGGAGGGGACACACGTCCACTCACAAGGACCTGGAACAGGAGCTGCTCTGCGGCAAAGGCCCTTCTGTAGTTCACACGTCGGAGGGTTTGCTATTGAGAACCGGCGGTGGAAATAGTTTAAAAGCTATCGCCTGCTTATTTCTATTTCTTTTCAAAGAAGGTTTGTTAGAATCAACACTCACAAACCTAATGGCACGTGGTGGTTGTGTGTCTGCTCCATTGATGAGAGCGTGTTGACTCCCGGTAGCTTCAGGCCACTGCAGGCGAGGGCCCAGCACACAGGCACCCACGGAGGATGCGAGAAGGGACCACAGGAGGCGCCACGCTGTCCACCGAGTCCGAAACCACTGAGCATGCGCACCGCCTGCAGCGCCGGGCGGGGCTTCGGGCTGCAGGCTGGTCCCTTTTCGCATCTTCAAATAGGACCACAGGGGCCTGTTCCATGCCAGGGTCTGCCTGGGGAGTTGGCAGTGACCCACGGGCACACAGTGGCCCAGAGCACGTGGGAGCGTGGCGCTGCCCCCGCATGAAGCTCGAAGCTCCTGGCCTGTAAGACATTGGGGACAGCTCCCGCGTGAGGGCAGACCTTCAGGGTATTTGGGAGCAGCTCACAAAAGAGGCAAGTGCACCCCAAGTTCCTCAGCGTGGGAGGGAGGGGCCATGTAGGAGTGAGCGTGGGGGAGGCAGCTTTCCTTCCTCACAAAAGGGACGGAGCTTTAAATGCAACAGCGGATATTGTTGCAGCGCGGCTCACAGAGACTGTAATTACTGTTTCGTGCCAGGAGACGCTGAGTACTGTGTGGCCATTGGATCCATTCCTGACAGCTACTGGAATTTAACTGCTGCTTTTTGGAAAGCTGGGGGGGCAGGGGGGAATGGAAGGGGGGCCGGGAACTCTCAGGGCCATTAAAGGTTTCGGGAAATGATCTAGAATTTGGCATCAGGACACACAGGGCTCCGTGTCTGTCCCCACAGGTTCAGAACCAGGCCAGGGGCTGGCAGCCACCTCCCCGCTGTGCGTCTTGGCACTGGGCATGCACGTGATATCTGCGTGCCGAGGTACATGCCCCGAGGGGCAGTGACAGGATCAGACCTGAGACCGGGGAGTCCTGCTCCCGGGTTGGTGCCCTGCCCGCCCCCCTCTGTAAGTGCAGTGCACACACCATCTTGGTCCCCACACCCCCATTTTCAGAAGAGAATGGTGGGGCATAGGGCACGAGGATAACTGTCCACAAGTCACAGGACCTGCAGTTGGTGACACTGGTGTTTGAAACCCCACCTGTGGAACCCCAATCTGGGCTCTCTGCACTCCTCCCCGCAGCCCGAGCTCGGCCGGGCCCGGAACCGGTCACCGGACTGTGGTGTTTGGGGGTGCACACCTCACACCCAGGACAACCCTGGGAGCCCGTTTTGTTTGCCGGAACAGGTTGC